TGACCACAAATTTTATGAAGAAAAATTTGCGTTCTCTGCCATTTTGTTCTTCTTCTTCTGAAATATTCTTTAAAAAAAGGAAAAAAAAAAATCCACCCTCCTCCATTGCTGTCTCAGAATGTCCTGCAAACTTCAAGTGATTATAGAAAATAAAACGAGAAACGAAAGACTAAAAAAAAATGGAATGAAGGAAGTTCCAACCAAGAAAGAAAAAAAATTAAGACACCTTTTTTTTAATTCACCGAAACAACTTATATAAAAAAAAGGAATCAGAAAAAAAAGAAACATGGTAGTTTCAACTTTCAACTCGCAACTTTAAGACTGTTGACAGAAGCACCATTAAAGTAGGTCTTTCTAGCAGGTCTTACTTGCTGATGGCTGACACTGTGCACAAAGAGGGGGGGGGGGCGGAAGGGGAGAGGCTGAAAGGAAGGAGGAAGGAGGGAAAGAGGAGGAAAAAGGAAGGAAAGAGGAGAAAGGGAGAAGACAGGAGGGGAGGAGAAGTAGGAAAGGGAGATGGAAGGAGGGGAAGAGGGGAAAGGGAAATGGGAGAAGGGGAAGAAAAGAGGAAAGAGGGAAGGAAGGAGCAAAGAGGTAAAGAGGAGGAAAAAAGGGAGGGGGTAGGAAGGAAAGAGGAGAAAAGGAGAAGGCAGGAGGGGAGGAGAAGAAGGAAAGGGAGATGGAAGGAGGGGAAGAGGAGAAAAGAAGGGAGAGGGTAAAGAGAAAAGGAAAGAGAGGAGGAGCGAAGGAGAAGAGGAAGTGGGAAGTAGAGGAAGACCGAGAGGGTAGAGAGGACAGGGAGAAAAAGAGAGAAGGAGAAAGAGAGGTGAGGTGAGAGGATGCGAAAGGGAGAAAGAAGGAGGAGGGAGAAGGTAGGGAGAAAGGGAACGAATGGGAGGGAATAAAGAAGAATAATGACGGAGAGAAGAGCGAGAAAGAGAAAAAGGGAGAAGAATAAGAAGAAGAGAATGAGATAAGGTTGAAGGCGAGAGGAGAAGGAAGAAGAGGGAGGGAGAAGAGAAGAAAGAGAGAGAGAGAGAGAGAGGAAGGGAAGGGAAGGGGCTAATACAAGAAAAAATAGAGGAAAGAGAGAACGAAGGAGAGAGAAGAGAGAAAGAAGACGCTAAGAGACAAAAATGAAAAAAAACACAGAAATAAGGTACTAAAAAATCATAACAATAAATAAGCAAGAAGGAAGATAAAGAGAAAAAAAAATAGAAACTGAGAAAGAAAAAAAGCATAGAAACGGGAAGAGCGATAGAAAGAGAGAAACAGATAACCATTGGAAAAGACATAAAAGAGGAAATAGCGAGAACGAGAAGAGGACGAAGGGACGCTGGGCATTGCGCGTCGAGGAGGCTTTTCCCTCTCCTCCTTTTCTCTCTTTTCTCTCTTCTCTATTTTCTTCGTTTTCTTTCTTTTCTTTCTTCGTTTTTTCTTCATTTTCTTTCTTTTCTCTCTTCTCTATTTTCTTCGTTTTCTTTCTTTTCTTTCTTCGTTATTTTCTTCATTTTCTTTCTTTTCTCTCTTCTCTATTTTCTTCATCTTTCTTCTTTTTCTTGGTTTTCTTGATTTATTTTTTCTCTTCTTCCTTTTTTTCTTGATTTTCTTTCATTTCTTTCTTCTCTTTTTGATTTCCTCTCATTTCTTTTTTCTATTTTCTTTTTGTTTTTACTTTTTTTGTTCTTTTTCTTTATTTGCTTTTCTGTTGTTTTTTTCTTCTTCTTTAATTTTTTTCTTTTTTTCTTCCTTTCCTTTTTTTTCCTTTTTCTTCTTTTTCTTGTTTATTTCTTCCTTTTCTTTCTTCTTTACTTTTTTTCTTTATTTCTTTTTCTTTTCTTTTTCCTTTATTTCCTTCTTTACTGTCAAGGAGGCGATTTTCCTTTTTCTTTTTTCTCTTCTTTTTTTCTTGATTTTCTTTATCTTTTCTTTCTTCTTTTTTATTTTCTTCTTCTTCTTTTTCTTGATTTACTTTTCCTTCTCTTTCTTCTTTTTCTTGATTTTCTTTTTCTTTCCTTTCTCTTTTTTTCTTTTTTCTTTCTTTTACTTTTTATTTGGAGGAAGAGGAAAAGAAAAAGGGGGAAAGGGAGGAGGAGGAGGAGGAGAAAAGGAGGAGAAGGAAGGGAAAAATAAGGAGAAAGAGGAGAAGGAAGAAAAGAAGAAGGAGGAGGAGGAGAAGAAGAAGAAGGAGGACGAGGAGAAAGAAGAGGAGGGGGGAGGAGAAGAAGAAGAAGGAGGAGGAGGAATAGAAAAAGGAGGAGGAGGAAAAAAAGTAAGAGGAAGAAGAAGAAGAAGAAGCAGGAGAAGAAGGAGAAGAAGAAGAAGAAGAAGAAGAAGAAGGAGAACATGAGAAGAAGGAGAAGAAGAAGAAGGAGAACAAGAGAAGCAGGAAGAGGAAGATCAAACCCAAGGCACGGAATTATTCCCTACAACGCGTCCGTTTGTGACAAATTCAGGACAGCATTTCCCTGGCGATAACCCCCCCCCCTCCCTATGGTTC